CAACCACTTTTATTTTTAATTTTTAAGAAAACACATAAAGTAAAAGAAAAAAAAGTGAACAACATCTTGGAGACCATACAAGTGGACATATGAAAGCAGAAAATAAAATTTTAACTCCTTTCCAAGTGGGTGTTAAAGCAAAAAAAAGAAGAAGAAGAATTTTAAAAAAAACACCCACTTAGTTCAATTCAGTTTCCACTTCAAAATGTATCTATTATTATTTAATTAGTAATTTGGAATGAATTTTTGAAAGTGAATTACTTTGTAAGAATTTTGTTTCCTTTAATAGTTAAATTTATGAGTCAATTAATGGTAGACCAATATTGTAAATCGTGAAGCATTAGACGGTAGTTACGTCTTATTATGGGAATCCTCAGCAGTGTGCGTCCATGATTCCGATTCAAGAGATTCGAATCAAAGGCTAACCAGTCTCGCTCCAGAGCACTATTTAAAGTGTTGTTTATTGATGATAAGTTTTAGGCTAACACAAAAAACTTATTCATTCACCATAATATCTCTGAAAATTTATTGGATTAGTAATCGTATCATGAATGCATTAGCCCGTTAGACAGAAGGTCCTGGAATCGAATCACCCGATTGAGACTTCGGATGCTCACTGCTGAGTCCCATATTGGGATATAACGACCGTTCAGCTCTTCTAGGCTACCAATGATGGTGTAACATCAATCGATTCATGATCACAATCAAAACAAATTAACAATCTCAACAATCACATACTGATAAGTATCATAAATGTCAATATACTGTTTTTAAGTAATAAAGCTTTCAGTCATAAATAATGTTTACATTAGATGGTTAAATAAACGTAAAATCTGTCTTAAGAAGATGTTACATAATATTTGACATTGAATCATTGAAAGCTGAATCCCTTAGAAGGTTACTAACAATATTATAATTTGAAGATAGCAAGAACAAAAATTCTAGAAGAATAGCGTTAATTCATTTTAAATCGTACGAATGTCTCTGGTAAGTTCATAGTTTCTTTTCATATAACACCTTTATTCATTAAGCTATCACATTTTGAAACTGTTGATATAATTTGTTGAAATTCTGATGTCATACCTTTACTAGTCCCGGAATTAAAAAAACCCCACTATTTCTATGCATAAAGTGCGTTCATTTTAAGCTCAATAACACCATATACCATCAGATTGATGGTGTAGCAATGGGAAGTTCATTAGATGCAATTAAGGTGGATATTTTTATGGGCTATCTTGAAAAGATGATGCTTAAACAAGCGGTTGGCGAGATGACAAGATACTTCGAATACGTTGGTGACACGTTTATTGTCTTCAGCAGTAAATATTATGCAACCCTTCTGTTAGAACTCTTCAATAATACTCATCTCAATATACAATTTACTATGGAACACAAAAAGAATAACATGTTCCAATTTCTTGATATTGTCGTGCAAAGTAGGGAAGACGAAAACGTTTCACGTTCAGTTTATCGAAAAAGCACCCGGAATTGTCTTTACCTGAATTTCAATAGTTTGTATCCTCTCATTTACAAAAAAGAATCGGTCAAAACACCATTTTCATACAATAGAAAAGATGTTTACCACTGACAAACTACAAGAAGAATTCATGATCATGGAAGAATGTCTAAGAGACAACTGCTACTAACATAAATTTATTGATAAATGTTTGGATGATTTTGCAAATTTCTAGCAATCGACATGACAAGCTCAGGAAGACATTAAGGAGCATTTTATCCAATCAGCATTTGATTAGACGTTTCGTTAGAAACATGGCGAAAAACGAAAAGTCATATTTAGAGATTCTGATTGGCTGATAACTACCTTGCTACTATGTTGAGTAGTATTCTGGAATTTTTAGTAAAACCCTAAGGACTCATAAATTACCATAAAAATCCTATATTTTCTGTACATAAATGAACCTTTGGAGTAAAGAGCTTCTCGTATATTTTGTGCCTTTTCTCTCGTGTTCAAGTCGCTGTGCAATTCTATCTTGGGGATACAAGACTAGCTTGGGATCCGAACATAGCGTTTAATCAGTAAAACTTATCAACAAATATCAAAAATCTGATGAAAACAAGACGATAGTGACTACAAACAACAAAAAACTAATATCTATGAATCTTAACTTCAAAAGTGATAATGTCGCAAGCACAATCAGTAAGAGACTTAACACTGCATTAGCCAGAACTTACTTGGCAGTCAAACTATTAATTATGTATAAAAACAACATGCTCAGTAACCCAATCACAGATCGACAAGCATCCAATACATGTTAACTACAAATGTGTTTGTAAATTTATATATAGCTGTCAAACCAGCTACATTGGGTGAACAGAAAGTAGGGTATATCTTAGATTTTTTGAACATGTTCCAAAAGGCTTTAGAACAAGAAAGAAACGACTTTGAACAGTGCAGTTACCGAAAATTTCTTTGATACAAAACATCAGATCGATCTATCAAAGTGAATAATAAACAGTCAAACTCCGGTAAAGATGGACAGTGACTAGCAGTGGAATCCAGGACGCTCGTCTCTTCGTCCTATTCAGGACTCGTCAACTGGACGTACCTGCATCTCAGAGTTGATGTTCACTCTGGGACTCGAACCCAGTACCTTTCGCGTTATCCACTCGGCCACTGAGTCCTGATAGCCACTTGCTTGTGCGATGGGGTGAAGTTTAAATTCATTTTTAGTATTGTTTGTTGCAGCTCTAACACATCGATGGGAAGATTGAAAAAAACATACTAAAAATGAAGTGAAACTCCAGGTTTATATTTATTATTATTATTAGCTTTATTCAATATTATATTTTTGGTACAATATAGAATTCTCAGCACAATGTACTTCAAAAAGATTCCGTTTCTTACTTCTTGATCGATCCTGACGATAAATATTGAATGGTCGTCTGTTAGAAGTTAGCAGTTTAATCAATGGTCATCTGAATAATGTACATTCTTGTCACTGTATATTGTCAGTAACCACAATATCTCTGATTAGGTCTTTTGTAAACTTTACAGCGAAAGGTTGTACACTTTTTAGAAACGCACCTGAATAGATTGTGCGATTAATAGGCATAATGATGTATTAAGACAAACAAAATTAGATAACTTGTTGAAATATCTAGATATCAGGAAAAGGTAACCCAGATATTCAAGTAGGTCACAAAAGTTTATTTTGTCTGTTAAATTTATTTACACCCTTACTATACTATACTGATGTAACTTCAACAGAACTTCCATTTAAACACTTTCATGAAGGTAATTTAAAACCCATTTTATAATTGTAAACAGTTAATAAATGTGAAACGAAATAAGACGAATCTATGATATTGTTCTACAATCTTTATTCTTGATCTTTTCAAGAGAATAAATAGAACTATGGGTATAGAACATTATAACTCTTACATCAACTTAATTCATGATCTAAACTATGAAAATACTGAAATCTCCATAAAAAAACTTCTTCTGATAATAATCAAAATATGCTCAATAGTGACTGGTTTCAAAAGGTATTTCTTAAAGTTTTAGTGAGAAGTCACTAAAGACAATTGGTGAACGGTTGCTCAACTTCGTGAATTGGTTGAAGTTAAACATTAACACTATCGGATCACGGTTCAGTGGTCTATCGGTTAAGTACTCTAGCGCGAGACTGATAGATTCTGGGTTCGTATCGCGCTAGGTGTGATCGTGGATGCGCACTGCCATTGACGAGTCCCACAACAGGATGAAACGGTCGTCCAGTGTTTCCAGGTTTTCCTTCTTGGTTTACCTTCAATCGACTAAAGACCTATTTATAAGAAATCAATGAATAATAATAATTATTATTATTATTTCTATTTTGTTCATTAATTCTTTACTCTCTGTCACCCTCTCACTCTCTCCCCCACTCTCCCTCCTTTTTTTTGTTTTCTCTCAGTAACTAATATGTAATCAATGTTTTTTTTATATTTATAATTAATGATATGATCTAATTAGTATATATAAATAGACAATTAAACTAAAACAGTTAGTTTTGAGGTCATTTCAATATGAATTCAGTAGTTTATAAAAGTAGTACATTTCCGTTTACTGAAATGATTGTATTCATTAAAAGATAACACACACATACACACAAACACAAACACACACACACACAATATTTTTATTATGAAAATATAAGAAAAATGAGGAAATAGACCGTTAATTAAAAAGAGTGATACTGTATAGGGTAATAGCTAAAACTGTATAACGATGTATTGTCCTATGTTTATATTGACAATTACAATTAGCTTGTTGAATAGTGTACTGCTTCATAAATTGAAATCAGCTTTCTATTTTTTTTTTAAGGTTTAGAGGTCATTCATAAATAATCATTCAATCATATATTATCAAGTTTCTTTGTTGAGGTTGATAGGGTTTTATTGATTAAATTCAGAATTTTTTGTAAGTAGTACAATGCATAAGATAGCCGATAAATGTCCTGGTATGAACGAGGTTATGGAGAGTTAACCATACCTATCAAAATGCTCGCACATGGCCACGTGTATACAGCCTCTGCTGGGGAAGTTCTACTCACTTCCTTCTAGCATCACGGGTGTTGTTTACGAAATTGAAAGGACGAAAAAAGGATGTCCAGAGCTCCAACCTGGTTGGTTGACACTCAGGGTTCAATTAGGGGAGTTGGATAATCCTCATTCCAAACCAATGGTGCACATGGGCTACAGGATCCTAATAGTGTATGAAGCAATTACTGGTCACCAACTGCCATTTGACTGCATCTCCTCACGTTACTCTACTGTCTTATGGATTAAACCTTTAGGTTGTGGATTCCGGGTTTGGATCTTAAAGAAAACTACCTGCTTCTATCTGGGCACCTGAATTGAATCACAGCCCAGATATGAATCAAGTGACTTATGTGGCGCATATGTATTCAGTGCCTCTTTGTACCAATATTTATGTGTTCAAATAAATAATAATAAATATTACATATAATGCTTGATTAACGCATGTACTTCGAACTTACTATCAGTACAGTAATTATTAAGCTTCATTATATAATTTTTCACTCTACGGTGAAAATTCCAACGTCGGCAGTTGATAATTCAACCGATTCAATCCAAAGTTTGAACTGTTGATTAACTTTTTGGCATTTGTGAATAGAATATATCAACAGTTATGGTAAAATAGATACTTCCCCCTCCCTCAGAGACTCGAATTCAGTACAAATATCAAGAATATTACTAGAAAATCATTTTTGATCATGATTATCTTCACGTAAACCTGAGATGATAACAGTTGTTTATTATTAGTGGGAAAATAGAATCTGGTAATTTAAACAATGGGACTGAATAAAGTTTTTTGATCCGTTATGTAAATAAGAAAATTAGTTTAAGTGATGAGTGAGAGCTAACCAATGCTAATGATTATCTAGTCTTTACTGTTGATCTAATTCGATCGATCAAATCTCAATTTGACCACTAACCTGTGTGACTAAATACTACTGCTACTATGTTTTCATATTAGGTAAACGACAGAAAACCCTGAAGTTATGTTTTATTTTAGTTAGTACTTGATAGTTGACAGCTGAATCGATCAATAATTACATCTGTGACTGTAATGTTAGATAACATGATTCGAAACTCTACCAAAAACACCATTTCACTCAAGGTTTCAGTTTATTTATTTTATTTTATTTTATTTAAACACATAAATATTGGTACAAGGAAGCACCAGATAAATATGCGCCTCACAAATCTAATTCGATTTGTGTGAGGGCTGTGATACTACCCAGGTGCCCAGACTGAAGCAGATGGTTTTCTTAGGGGGCCACAACCCGAACCTTTGACCTGAATATCTGATCCACAAGGCAGTGGAGCATCGTGAGGAGATGCAGTCCCATGGTAGCAGGTGATCAACGGTTGATTCGTACGCCATTTGTTCCCTCAGGATATTGGAGCCCATGTGCACCACTGGTTTGGAATCAGGGTTTTCCAACTCCCCTAGGTGAACTTTCCATGTCCACCAACCCAGTTAAAGCGCCGGACATTCGCTTTTTATCCTCTCAATTTCGTGAACAACACTCGTGGTGCGAGAAGGCAATGAGTAGGACTTCCCTGGCAGAGGCTATATATTTGCTGGCCATATGAGAGCATTTCGAGAGGGAGAGGTGACTCTCCCCACTCTCGGCCGTACCAGGGCATTTGGGGGCCAAGGTTCCAGTTAGTACAAAACATAGGTTATTACAGGATTTCCTGACGAACAGCTTTAATTACTTGATATATTTGAAATTATCCATCCGATATGTAAATACTAGACAAAGTTGATGTTTCAAAAAAACTTAGAAACTAAAATAAATAAGTTTTATATAGTTGAAATCACTAGTCAGTTGAAGCTAGATCACCATGGGAAACCTGTAAGCACTGCACGGCGGTTTATTCCTATCGTGGGACTTCTCATCAATGCGTATCCATGATTCCACCTCACGAGATTCGAACCCAGGACCTACCGATCTCGCGCCAGAGGAATTAACCGATAAACCACTGAGCTGGCTGTCATCCAATTGTGTTAATATCTAACTTCAACCAATCCACGAATAAATAAATAATATATTTGTGATATCTCAATGAGTAGAAAAATAAGATGTTCTGACGTTTCATGACTTCGTTTAAGCCACTTCTTCAAAGAATAAATAACTTAGTAATGATACCTTAGGATATACAAATTTAGGAAATTTTTCTTTGAAAATAAATAATTAGTATACTTATTTAAAAGTAATCATTAAATATTTGAAGTACTACAAGAAACTTAGAGGACACCGATGAACTAATATTTCTAGTTATAAGAAACTGAATTATAACTGTTGTATCCCAAAGAAACATGTGAATGGTAACAATGGTAACCTTAACTTTTCAACAACTGTATACAAACAAGCATATTTGAATTCTAGTTTAAGCAATTTCTAGTTGTTTTGTAACGATATAGCAAAAAAAAAATAAACTATCCAAAGTCAGAATGGGGATTTATGAAGATTGTAATAATTTAATAGTTTAATTCATCAGTTGATCTATGTTAGACTACCGATGAAAACCTGAAAGCTTAAGAGTCTCATACGAAGACGAAACGGCTATTCAGTGCTTCCAGGTTTTCAATGATGATGGCATAACTTAGACTGACTCATGAATTCAACTATTCAAAAAATAATGCTGAAAGTTATTTTCTCATTTCAACATTCGAGAATTTGTCAAATAAAAATAGACCACTATGGAAAATCTGGGAGCACTGGACGGCTATATCATCCTAGTATGGGACTCCTCAACAATGAGCATCTATGATCCCGCTGAGAGAGATTTGAACCCACTACCTTTCTGTTTCGCGCAAGAACAATTAACTGCTAGACGATTGAGCCAATATCCAACAGTGTTAATGTCGAACTTCAATCAATCGACAACTGATTTTTTGTATAAGTCGATAATTTAAACCTCGATAATTAATTATAATCATTTAATTACTACCTAAAATTATTTTAATTATCTCATTGGTTAAGGGGTATATAAAACATTTCGATAAAATTATCATTAAAGTTTGGATTTAAAATATATGCAGGTAATGATGAATCCAAAGCAAAGTGCCCATTTATCAACAGTGTCATTAACAGGTTAATATTTGAAAGAGTTCAAGAGTTCTGACAATAATTATCATGTACTTGTTATGTAGTAGCGAAGACATAAGTACGGGTAACTTGCAGAACCTACTATTGGACCATCATTCTTATTGTATAACTATTCGGCAACTAGATTATCTAAGCTTTATTTTGACTTATTGATTATTACTATATGATTTACTGTCCCTATGTTATACTCAGTTTTATTGATTATTGTCTCCCACGCTTACAGCCTCATTTGGCCTGGTTTTGTACAAATATTATTTTCTATTTTATGGTGTGGTGTGGACTGTCTGTCTGGTATATAGATAAAGTATGTTTGAAATAAACGATTCGCATTACAGCAGCTGCTATTGGTGTTCTGGACTCAAGTGAACGGGTTAGGCGGATAAGGACTAATAAGGACGCTAAATTACTCATACTAATCGAACGTCATTGTCACAGTGTGAAGGTTGTAGAAGTCGTATTCTATTGGTGGACAATTTACGCGAATTACATGCTTGTTAAATTCGTAAGGTCATAACGAATCAGCGACGACCTTGATCAAGTCATAACAATTGGCTACAGTCGAGGTCAAAAACATAACAGCACTCACCAGTGAATGACTTCAAAATATGTTTTCTGGAGTTCTATTGTGTAGATGTGACCAGTGGAGTTAAACCGTATCTTTTATGAGGCATTTATTCACTGAAGACAATGATGGACAGTGACGCAATATCGTGGATTGATTGGAGTTAGATATTAACACCGTTGGATAACAGCTCAGTGGTCTAGAGGTTAAGCTTTCGAATACGAGACAGATAGGTCCTAACTTCTGATCCCACATAAGGGATTATGAACGCATACTGTTGAAGAGTCTCATACTAGAACAATGAAACATCCATCCAATGCTTTCAGATGTTCCAAGTTGGTCTAGTTTAAATCGACTCATGAATTTAACTAATAAATTACTACAATTTCTACAAATCCTTATTTTGACAAAAATAAAATCTGTCAATCATTAATACTTGTCAACTCATTAATATTACGTAATCAATTATGAACACATTTAACTTTCAAAATGTAACCAACCAGTTTTACGGAGTTACTTTAAACTAGCTAAAATTATTATTGATTATTGATAAAATGAAAATATACATATCGATTAAATGTAAGATACTTTATGTCAGAAGGATATAAATGGATACAATTAATTGAAATTCAAATTCAAATTTAAAACATTTTTAATTTAACACTTTATTAGATCAATAACTTAACGTGATTGTATTGATTAATGATAATAATAAGTGCTTCAATTGACTCATAATTTCAACTTTGAAAAATACTGAAATCTCCACAAATCCCCTTCTAGATATAATCATATGCTCACTAGTGACTGACTTCAAGATATATGTCCTGGAGTTCTAGTGGGAAGCAGTGACCAGTGGAGTTCAACCATGTCCGTTGTGAGATATCAACTCACTGAAGGCAATTGGTTAATGGTTGCTCAACTTCGTGGATCAGTTGAAGTTAGACATTAACACCGTTGGATGCCAGCTCAGTGGTCTATCGGTTAAGAGCTTCGGCTCGAAACTGGTAGGTCCTGGGTTCGAATCCCGCGAGAGTGGGTTCGTGGATGCGCACTGTTGAGGAGTCCCACAAGAGAACGAAACGGCCGTCCAATGCTTCCAGGTTTTCAATGGTGGTCTAGCTTCAATTGACTCATGATTTCAACTTTGAAAAATACTGAAATCTCCACAAATCTCCTTCTAGATATAATGATAATAATAGACAGTTAGTAGTATGACTTCAGTAACTAACTAACTAACTAACTGATTATCTATCAAATAATCTAGCAACACTTTGTTCATTTCAATTCAAACTAAATAATGATGTTATTTATATAAATTAGGATAGAGTTGAAATACCGGTGACTAAAAAGACTGTTTTCTTTTTTACTTCCAAAAACAAATAATCAAATTCAGCTTATATATAAAATTTATAACAATAAAGTCAATTACAAAAAGATTATGAAAACAAGAATTTTCTCTCAGTACCATTTTGATAAATTAGTTAGATTTCATTTATTTATTGATGTCAAGAATTTTATGATTTAATAGTTGAATTCATGAGTTAAATAAAGTTTGACTATCATGGAAAACCTGGGAGCACTGGACGGTCATATCATCTTAGTATGGGACTCTTCAGCAGTGCACATGTACAATCCAACCCTGAGAGATTCGAACCCAGGAAACATTTGTCTTGCGCGAGAATGCCTAACTTCTAGACAAGTGAGCCAGTATTCAACGATGTCTAATATCTAACTTCAACCAATCCACGATTGACTTATTGAATAAGTCGGTAATTAAAACCTTGATAATTATCGGTAATCATTCAATTACTACTTAAAAAGTGAAATGTCTTTCAATTATTTCACTGGTTAAGCAGTTGAGATATATTGGTCCATATAACATAATTAATAAATCAACATGTGAGAATCGAGTGTGGATGTTTTTTCTTTGTACTAGTAAATAAGAACCTAATTGCTTAATTTATTTCTGTATTGTTGGTTTGAATTTTCGGATTGATGTTTAGGACTTCAATTATTCATTTTCTTATAGTCATTTGTGCATCCTGTACTGATTGGCTCGATGTTGCCTTAAAGCACAATCATTATAAATAGAGATGGATGTTGGTTAGCAGTGTAATCTAGGGCACGAGTTTCATCCTACGTGGGACTTGTCAACTAGATGTGCTTGCATCTCAGATTTTTAATATTCACTTCAAGATTACAACACAATATCGTTTGCTTTAAACGTTAACATGTTACTAATTGATTATTTTACAGATTAAAAATTAGTATTTGTTGTATATAACAAACAGTTCAACCTTTTAACACCTAAACACTAGGTGACATGCTCAATACTGCCTGTATCCACTTTGATTCAATCATTTTATGTGTGATACAAATGATGGTTTTATTTTGTTACCCTATATTTGGGTATAGTTGTTTAGTTGTTTTCTATTTCGTATCATATTATCCATGTCTTCAGAAGTATAAACAAGC